AAGATGTAGATGTAGAATGTGTTTGATCTGTCTGTTGATTATCACTCACATCACCACTACCAGCAACTACATGGTTAGCCCATGTGGAAGGTGGGCCATGTAGATCATAATAGAAATTAATTGAATGTCCTTCCCTACCACAATGTGTACACTTCCTAGTAGTGTGCCCTCTTCCTCAACCACGGCCTCCCCCTGAGTCATGACCTCCACCACTTCCACTACCACGACCAAACATGGGACTACCACAGCATCCTCGAAATGCATGTCCTCCCCCTCTATTTCCACGTCCACCTCCTCTCGCTACAACAAACACTAATTTGTCAGAAGTTGTACTCTATGTAGGTTCCCGAGAAATCCTACGGAGCTGAGCAAATACTTCTCAAGTGTAGAAGAGCAAAACCTCCCAATATTTGTGCTCTAACTGGTTCATATTCTAATTTCAGCCCTACTCAAAACCTAGATACATCAAGTTGCTCCCGTTGTTGTTGCTGAATTTTGACATCCAAGGTGAGGGGGTGATAAACATTAAGTTCATTCCTGAGGTTCTTCATACTGGCATAATACTCTTCAAGGGTTTGATTTCCTTGTTGTAAATTAAAGTACTCCTGATAGAGCTGATATACTCTTGTAGTATTGTCCTGTCCAAAATAAAGTTTCTTTGCATGTTCCCATATTTCCTTGGTTGTATCTAAGAACATAAAGTTTGCACTTATCTTGGGTTCCATACTGTTCCATAACCAAATGGTCTGGGCATCCTATTTACTTTATTGGAAAATGGTCTGGATTCAGTGTTTCAACCAAACAACACTGCATGTGCTTTGGGTCTAACCCTAGCAACCGAGACAAGCTGCCCCAACTTCTTTGGCAGCACATCAGTGTCAGCCTTGGCAGGATAAACTCCCCAAGTTTATCCAACGGATGAGAACATTTTAAACTAACACAAGTCTCATAAGTGTCCAGTTTAAGGGGTAATTTCACAGAAATATACCAATATCAACATGAAACAATAATGTACTTTTATTCATTTACAATAAATGTATTTGTACATCAATTTGATTGGAGCTAAGGGCATACTCTATCTAACACTCTTTACCCATGTCCGTCGATCTTCCAATATCCTTGGTCAGCCAGTTAAATTTCCTCTTTCAATTGTTGTAGCTTCAAAGTCTTGAATTGTCTTCTTTTAACCAGCTCACTACAGTCTCAAGTCTCCTTCTATGATCAGCTTGTTTGAGTGCAAGATCATTAGCCCTTTGAACCCCTTCCAGAGCTGCTAAAATCTCAGCCCTCAATGAGTCTCCCACTCCAATTGGGCCAAAAAACATGGCTATTACGTTCCCTTTCTCATCCCTCATGACTCCCCATATTCCAAAAGGCCCTGGATTACCCATGTTGCTGCCATCAAAACTCAGTTTGGTAAAGCCAAGAGGTGAGAGGTTCTAGTAGGAGCTTGAGACCTTACTGACTAAGGCTGAATTTGCAATGCCCTTACTATATCAGTCACAAAAAAAAAAGTTCAAGTGTCTTTATCTAGTGTGCAACTTTGATTTTTATGACCTCAAAAATTTCCCTCCTTCAATCTGCTTTTCTCATTGAATATCCTCTCATTCCTTTCCTCCCAAATGGTTCACACCTTTGCTGCCCTGACTGCTTTCCACATAATTCTCCATCTCTTTTTTTGGGTGCCTTAGGAAGCTTGAACTAAAAAGACTCTACATCATAAGGGGGATTCCACCTCCAAGCAAAAAGAGAAAAAAAAAAAAAAAAAAACTCCCAAACACAATACAAATAAGCAAGATAATAATAAGTGGGATAAGGATTCACCACTTGCAACGCAAAGGAAGCACATATGAGGGGATAGGCATTTGTTTGGCCTCCTCTTTTGAAGCATATCACAAGTGTTTACCTTTCCAAGAAAAACTTCCCAACACAATGCTTTAACATTGGGTGAATAGGCTTACTCCAACTCTCTTTCATAGGGAAATTCTCCCCCAATGTCTTGGACTGCACAAGGGCATTGAAAAAGGAAACACAGGTGAAAACACCATTACGAGCAAAAGACCAAACTCTACTGTCTTCCATTGACTGGAGAAAAAAGGCTTAATTAAGTTTATAGAATAATTGAATAAAGGCCTTACACTCATTATCCTTCAATCCCTTCTAAAACCAAAATCCGAGTTTAACCTAGAAGGAGAAAAAGTGACAAATATCAAGATAGGTTGTGGTTTATAATTTGACAAAAAAGTATAGGCCAAGGAAAGCATAGTTGATGGGAGTTTCATCCAACCAAAGGTCTTCCCAAAACAAGACTCTAGTCCCACATCCCACACCAAACCTGGTGAAATTAATAAAAGTTGGGTATACCTCTTGTATTGATTTCCGAGAAAGTGAAGTTGAAGAAGGGGCAATCTTTGCATCCCAACCATTGTTCAACATCCCATGAATAATTACCTTTGGTTTTTGGTACTAACACTATTGTTGATGCCTTTGCAGATGCACTAATTCCCACCTGTGGCTCTGATTTTCCCATTATAATGCTAGAAGGTGGTAAGTAAATTGTAGAGGAAGGTATTGAAGGAGATGAGAAGGTAGAAGAGGACCATAGTGAGGAGAAATTTGGGGAGATTGAGGGAGGCAAAGGATGTAGAGGTAGAAGGAGAACTGAAAAAGAGTGGGGGAGGAGTGGAGTTATTGAAAGAACAATTATAGGGAATAATTTAATAGAGGAAGGCGAGAGCAAGTGAAAAAAGGAATAGAGAAGATAGAATGGAAATAAGTATGGAAGAAGAGGGATTGAGGGAATGGGCCTTGAGGTGGATACGCCCAGGAATTGAAGTCCTATGCTAGAAAAGGTAAAGATGGGAGGGAAAAGGAGGAGAAAAAGGAATGGAGTTGAAAGGCTCTTTAATGATGTTGAAGGAGACAAAGAGCTCAGTGCCAAGGGAGGGAGAAGAAAGGGAGGGTGATTGTAAAATGGTAGAGGACTGGGTTAAACTCTAGTGGTTGCCATGAAGATTATTAGTTGGAATGTTAGGGGCTTAGGGAGTGATACAAGAAGAAGAGCAATTAAGGAAATTCTCAAAAAGAAAATGCATGATATTTTGTTTATTCAGGACTCCAAAATTCAAGAGATTGATAGGAGATGAGTTAGAAATTTCTAGGGAGATAGAATCATTAATTGGAGCTTTGGAGGAAACAGTACATTACAGTGAAAAGTTGATAGGGAATTTTACAATATTTGTGTAGTAGAAGAGTGTTCAGGATGGGTTTGAATGGGTTATCACAAGGCCAAACCTTTGTAGGGAAACGAAATTTTTGTGGGAAGAACTTGCAGATATAAGGAGGCTTTCGAATAGACCTTGGTGTTTAGGAGGGGCCAGGGGACTTTAATGTGATTGGATTTGTTAACGAGTCAAATAGTGCAAGGTAAAGGGTAACTACTGGCATAAAGAGATTTAATGATTTTATTGATGCCATTGAGTTGAGAAAAATTCCTCTAAGACAAACCAGGTTCACATGGTTAAGGCTTCTACTGTAGTAGAAAGTTCAGCATTGGTAACCATGATGACAGAGTATTAAGGATAATAGGGTGAAAGTAAATACGATGCAATGCCAATATAGACAAAAGAAATCACAAGTAATTAAAACTCTAAACTAATGCAAGGCACTCTCAGCAAATTTAAAATTTAAAAGAGAAACTATGCTATGCTCATGCAGGAATATGGGTGCAAGTTGTATATAGAATTAAACTATAGAAATAAAAGGTCAATTTTTTTTTGGGATCTTTGTTGAATGAAAGATGATGCCACACAATAATCAGGTTACCAATGATAAGATGGTGTTAATATATATTTTCGGCTTTCACAAAATTTCTAAGGAACTGATAGTTATAACCAGCTTACTAAACAGGTAAAGAACTAATCCAAATCCCAAATTGAAAAGGTGTACCTTTTGAAATTCCCAGAAATCCCTTCCTATTTAACTGAGGTGTGTTTATGGAACACAAGCCAGAACTAGATGCTTGAACCTTTAGGCTGGCAAACTCCAACAACTCTTGATTAAGCAACAGCAAATCGTACCAAAGTCTCATGTAGGAACACAAGCTGTTGGCATAGATGATGAAGTTACCTAATGAGGAGGCTGTTGTTATGGTGCTACCTCAGTCAGAAACAAACAAAGATAGTGGGCTTAGTCACCACAGCAGGGGAGAGAAAGAAGCAGATGGCTGACTGTGACAGCAAAGCTGTGTTGCGGTGGCATGGAAAACAATGGGATAAAGAAAAGAGGAAGAAAAAAGAGACAGAAGTAGGAAGAGAACAAAGCAAGGGTCCCATATGGTACTCTGTTAGGTCGCCACCTTTGTTATGCTTGGTCAGCAAAGGAAAGTAAAAAGAAAAAAAGAAACTCTACAAATGAACCCAAATTCTACATTAAGGAAAAAGAAGTGCTAAATTAATCGTCTGCACCTAATGTATGTGAAACATGTGTGGTGCATCAGTCTCAATGTGATCTCCATCAAAACAATAGAAAGATCTTTAATATAAGAAAATAAGTCTGAAATATCTCCATTATGAGGACAAATCCTCTCCTCAATCCAACAAATTTTTCTTAAAATCTAAACCCATTCCAAAAACCAATGGCATCTAATAAACTACTTAAAGCATGAGAATATATTACTAAAAGATTTGTGAGGCCAAACGAAGTTGAGACAACTTAAGGGACCGGCAAGACAGCATCTGCTCTCTGATATTTCATTAAATTTGGCATGTTTCTCTCAAGCATTCATTCACCTGAGTGGAAAATTTTGTTACTGTTTTAAAATGTCTGACAAAAATCCCCTTTCCCCAGGTTTATATAACCATCAAATATCAAATTTTTAGATCTTAATTTGTCACTTGATTTGCCCCAAAGTCCAGCTTTCTTTTATTATTTTTTTCTTGGTAATAGGAAAGAACAGTTAAATAAAAGAATCAATGCAAAAACAATAGTAGACATGAAACCTGGCGAGACAATTGTTGGTGATATAGAGCACCTGCAGACTCTTTGGTAACTGGTGAGACTATACCAACACTCAACAACCAATCTTGCATCTCTTGGTTCGAACCTGCCTCCTCATCATTTGTTGCATTGCCAAAAGAAGTTGAGCCAGATAAAAGCTTTAGCCTCATCTTCTCTGCTAGCATCACCATCTCTTTAGCCTTACTCTACAAAAAGGATAGGCATATTATCAGACATTTAATTATTATATAATAAACCGAACTTAGTGAAGAAGATTCAGTATACTAAAAATACAAAAGCAATAAAAGTTCACAAATCTGAATTACAAATCAAAAAAAATGCTTACAAGTCCGAACTAATCACAGACTAAATACTTCTTTTGGCAATATCATTCTATAAACAAAAGAGAGAAAACCAGCCAACCCCAATTTCCCTAATTCTATTGCAACTTCAAGAAAAAAGAAAAAGAAAAAGAAAAGTTATATTTGTTAGAGTCAGCTAGTCAGAATTCTTTTGGCCATTAACTCCTTATTTATTAAGTTCTAGTTAGACATTTTAGCTGTGCCTTAAGTTATATGTCCCTTACTTAAGGGCATGATAGTCTTTGTACATTGTTTGCAAACCTATTTAATAAACAGGTCAACTGGGCTCAGAGATTATTCTCTCCAATTCAATAATTCTTTTTCTCCTCTCTTCTCCTTTCCTTCTCTTCTTTCTTTTCTTCTTCCTTCTCTTCTTTCATGTCCTAGCGTGTAACTACAAGAGAATTAAACCATTATAACATGGTATTAGAGTTCTGAAAGGAGGATAGAAATCTATGGTCCTATTCTTTAGAAGATTGCAACAAGGGCTGTAATCAGATCGGATTCAGTCCAAATCTGGTCCGATTATTTAAAATCTGCATCCAAATCCAATCAGATTTGAAGACCTTGGAGTCGAATCCAAATCCTAACAGACTCGGATTGGATTCGGATTTAATCCAACTCAGCTTTTATTTTTTAAAATACAAAAAAAAAAAATGATTACTTTTCAACATTTATATAAAATAAATTAATGTAAATATAACACACTAAATTTATTATATACAAATTCATATACAATATAATATATAAAATATACATTTTTTATAATTTTAAATGTAATTACGTAAATTATATATTAAAATCAATAAATATTATAGTATAATCGGATGGATGGAGTCAAATGTGAATCCAATCTGATTATTAATCACATGCAAGTTGCAAAAAGCTTATGATTTGGTGGACTGGAAATTCTTACTAGAAGTAATGCAACAATGGGGGTTTGGGGAGAGATGGTGCAAATGGGTCTTTGGATGTGTTCGGTCTTGTCACTTTTGTAGTAGATTCCTCTCTAAGGCAGATAGGGAAGATGAAGTTAAGGGCTGGAGAGTGAGTAGAAACAGGGTTCCAGTTACTCACCTCCAATTTGCAGACAATATCATAATATTTTGTAAAGGGCGAGATCTTAGGAGAGTGAAGAAATTAACAGAACTAATTCGGAAGTTTGAAAAGGTGTCCAATCTGAAAATCAATTTGGACAAAAGTTGTGTAGCAAGGATTAATATGGAGGAGAGTGTCCTGAATTTGGTAGCAAGTGCTTAGAGTGTCAAATTACCCATTGGCCTTTGACCTATTTGGGACTTCCCCCAACCCTAAGGAAAGCAGATTTTGGAACCCAGTTGGAGAAAGATTTGAAAAGAGATTGGGCACTTGGAAGAGGAATTACATCTCTTTGGGAGGGAGGATTATCTTGATAAGATCTACTTTGGCTAACTTACCTATCTATTTCCTCTCAATTTTTAGGATCCCACCAAGGGAAGAAAAATAGTAAGAAAAATTATGAGGGATTTCCTTTGGGAGCTAGGAGAAACAAGAAAAGACCATTTAATCAACTGGGAGATTGCTTAAAAGTAAGGAAGAGGGTGGATTAGGTCTTGGGAATGTGAGAAAGAAGAAAACAGCTCTCTTAGGAAAATGGTTATGGAGATGGCCTCTAGACTCTAGAGAGGGAAAATTTGTGGGCTGAAATAGTGGATAGTATTCATGGGTGATTGGAGAGTGGCGGGGATGTTGGTGTATCATGTTGGGCTACTTTGGCAGCACCTTGGAAAGCAATCTACAACTTGCTTCCTCAGTTCCTTAGTTTATTAAAGTATGATGTTTGCTCAAGGATCCTAGTTCGCTTTTGGGAAGACATTTGGTTTAGTGACCAACCCTTAAAGGACTTGTTTCCTTCCTTGTACAAAAATAAGGTGATTACGAGTTTTCTAGTCCATTCTACTTTACCTTTGAATCACAATTGGGATTTTGGGGATGAAGAAGGCACCTGTTTGTCAAAGCTTCTCTTACTTCTAGATAAAGTCTGCCTAGAACCTTCTAAACCAGACAGGAGAGTTTGGTGTCCAAATCCTAAAGGCTTCTTCTCTTGTGCCTCTTTTTTTAAAGTTCTTTGCCAATCCTCTTCCTCTTTGTTTTTTCCTTGGAAAGAAGTTTGGTTTCAGCCAATTCCCCTAAAATTAAGGCTTTCTATTGGGAAGTGGTATATGGGAAAATTAACACTTTGGATTCCTTGCAAAAGAAGAGGCCTTTTGTGTGTATTTCACCAAATTGGTGCACTCTGTGTAAATAGTCTATTGATAATTGTATCATAATGACCCTCCCTAAAACTCTTGAACTTGTTTTCAATGTTTTGCCCTTGGGGCCCATGGACTCCACCATTCAAGACCTCGTAACCACATGACAACTCTTATTTCTGTCATTAATATTTGGAGCCAAAATAAATTGTGCCATACAACAGATACAACGGATGATTATTCAAGGATGAAAAGGCTTTATCTTATGAAAGAAAGAAGTGAATTATTTTCCATTTTTCAAAAATTCCATACTAAAAGTTGCACTTAATGTTCCAATAAAAGCTCTTTACTCTAGTAATGGGACAGAATACTCTCACTTTGTTTCAACAATATTTAAAACAGCACAGCATCATTCATCAAACTTCCTTCATACACCTTACAACAAAATGGGGTGGCTGAACAGAAGAACCGCCATATACATGAGATAGCTTGGTCTCTTCTTCATCATATGAATGTTCCAAAAAGGTTTAGGAGTGATGCTTTCCTTACAATTTGTTTCCTCAATAACCGGATGCCCATGTCCATTCTTGGTGGTCGTTCTCCCTTTTCCATCCTATTCCCTACCTTGTCACATTTTCCTCTCACCCTAGAATTTTTGGTTGTGTTTTGTTCATAATTTGGGCCCAGGTGTGGACAAGTTAGATGCATGCTCTATGAAATGTATCTTTCTTGACTACTCTAGGACTGAGAAGGGGCATAAGTGTTATAATCCTACTTCCTAGCAGTCATTTGTTTGTCCTAATGTTACCTTATTTGAATCAGTTCCCTTCTTCACTGGTTTGATATTACCTCTTCACCTCTAGTATTCCCACTTCTGGTTCCTATTGATGATCCTATTCCTAGTGTTTCCAAGCCTAAGCCTCTGCAAGTGCAGACACATATTGGATGACCACCAATCAAGCAAGCTTATACTCATCAATAGCACTGGCTCCTCCTCCAGCCTTAGCTCTGTCGGGAGATCCAACACTTGTTGTAAGATGCTGACGGGTATACATTGTTAAATACTTACCAAATGGTCGTGTGGAGTATCTTAAAGCCAGGTTGGTAGATAAATGTTATTCAAAGTTGTATGGTGCAGACTATATGGAGACCTCTCCCTTTACCAAAATTGGTTCAATTTGTGATCTCTCTAGCAACTATGTGTGAGTAGCCCCTATTTCAGATCAATATCAAAAATGCCTTCTTATATGGTGATTTGCTTGAAGAAATCTATATGGAGCAACCACTAAAGTTTATTGCTCAAGGGGGAGGATAGTAAAGCATACAGGTTTTAAAAAAAAAAAAAAGCAATTTGTGGGATGAAACAGTCTCCACATGTTTGGTTTTTGTAGATTTAATAAAGTGGTGAAAGACTTTGGGATGAAGCAGCACTAAGTTGATCTCTGGATCTAATTGCTGGTGAATGGATGCCTTTGATAAAGAACAGGATTCTCTTAGTGTTGCTGCCTTGGCTGATGGTGATGAAAACTTCTCTTTCAACCAGCTGAAGAGCAGGTCCTGCTTCTCTTCAAATTAGGCAAATATTTGTTGTTTTTTTTTTATAATTAGGCAAATATTTGTTGTTGCAACTCATCTAAACGCCCCTCCATGCCATAGACCTTTCTGGCAAGACTAGCCAAATGGTCATTSAATGTCTCATCTTCCGGTTGCTCAAATGGTGATTGGATGGGTGACTCCAGCAGTATTTCTTCCAATGAAGGAATCTATTAAGGTTCTTCCCTAACCGTGGCTTTCCTTGACAGCATCTTCTTCCCAAGACAAAGCTAAAACCAGAGATTCTTAATGTAAGATAATGGTGGTGGAGGTGATCTTAGCTCTAAAGTTGAGAAAGAGAAGTAAGGAGAGGAATTAGGGTTCGGTCAAGGAAAATTTTGGGAAGGAAGAACGGATGATCAAATGACCTCTTCTTCTCTATCAGAAGGACCATTATTTATAGGAGATGAGGGCTCATAGGTGCATGGAATGAAGAATTCCAGAATATTCTTAAGGCAGTAATTTGCTCGCATGCCCAGGTTGATTCGATGGGGACATGAGCCGAATCATATGGTGGGGACCAATTGTCAGCCTGTGCAAGCCACAATTATCACCTCCTCTACGATTCTACCATGTGTCGCACGCAAAACGTTCTTGCAGATCTCACATGCCTGTGTGTGTTTTTATCTTTTGTAAACTTTACTTCTATATCGCGGCTCAGTGCTTACCTATGGTCGAGGACCGCAGCTTATTATATACAAGGAGGATGACCATGGTTAGCCATGGTGCATAACTGTGGTCATCCCATGGTAGTATAGTCGTGGTAGCATGTCAACAATTATCCTATGTTATCACAGTTGCAATAGCATGACCGAGGTTCTGTTGCGGTAATATGATTTTGATAATATATGTCCATCCCCTTATGATCAATAAGTGGTAACAGACCTCATTCTAAGCTTTGCAAAGAGTACACCAATTTGGAATAAGCACATGAAAAGTCTCTTCGTTTGCAAAAACCGAAGGGTCGGAATTTTAGGGGGAATAGACCTAGTCCAAACTTCTTTGATTGGGAACACCCAA